AGATGGGGCAATCTACTTCCATAATGATACTGCCTTGGAAACCCAAGGAGGGGTCTCTATGAGTTGGGGCTGACTTGATGGCACGTAACAACAACAACAACATACTACTCAATTATCATCAAAAAATTGTGGATTATTTCATAAAAATGAAAACCAAAAAGGAAAAATCATATGAGAAGGGGAAAGTAAAGTATATTGTGTGACTCTAGGAACATTTTGAGATTTCAATACATTCTATTTTCAAATTTCCTGGGACATATTAGAGTGTTATCTTTCCTATATAATCAAATAAAATGGATTGGAGTTCAACAATAAACCCATTACCCTAATAGTGATTCGAATGATGATTAATAATATAATTGACATGTCCAAGTATTTACTGAGTGCCAAACTTGGTCATGTTGCCAGAAGGGACCACTCCTTGGAGAAGGATAGCATACTTAGTAAAGTGGGGGAGGTCAGCGAAAAAGAGAAGGACCCTCCATGAAATGGGTTGACACAGCGGCTGCAACAATGGGGTCAAGGATATCAAGCACTGTGAGAAGGCTCAGGACAACCCTGTGTTTTGTTCTGTTGTACACAGGTCACTATGAGTTGGAGCTGACTCAAGGGCACCTAACAACAACATAACAACGACAAACTTTGGTTAGCTACCACAGTCATAATAGTGACAGGTTTTGTTCTCCAGTTTCCAGTTAAGAGAAGTTGAATGATTAATAGGCACTCCACATGTAGTGTGTGAAAGGTATGAGATTTGGGGAATTGCTCTTCTGATTCCTATTCCAGGGCTCAGTCTCCTTAACCAGAGTTGAATGATTGTGTTTCTTTTCAGATGAGCTAGTGGAGCGTCAATCCCTGATTCTTTTACAAGCCAGTGAGTTGACCTGTTTATTGAGAAAATGGGCCAAATGTTTTACAGGGAGCTTTATAACATGAATGTTGTGTATTGTAGGGCTTTATGAAGAGTAATGCATTTTGCTGCATACTTAGTAAATCTGACCCGGGAGACTATTCCTCCCTATAAAGGATGATAATTTTCATATGAATCTATCATGTAATAGCCATTACCAGATAACTTTCATGGACATTGTCACACGTTAACAATTAAAACAGATAGCTGTGTCTGACATTTTATCGGTAAAGACATTTGACAATTAATAGTAAATTTGGACATGCATTAATTTACACCTTAAACAACTATACTCCATGAACAAATTGTATAGGAATTCTCAACTGTGTAATATGAAGAGGGAAATTTTACTGAGTGATTTTAATCAGAAATTGACAAGTAAAATGATTCTTTGCTCAGTAATACCAATGAAAAATATATGAAATAGATGTATGTACTTACCACAGAAAGTTAAAACACAACATTGTAATGAATGGGAACTTTTGTGGGACTACATGTGCATTATTATATAATTTAGGTACATTTTCAAGAAAACTGTTCATGGATTAATAATTAAACACTGATATTATAATAATACTGAGAGGAAAATAGAACTATAGCTTTTATAAATTTATGACAGAGATTGCCTTTTGGGGAACAAGTGTGTTAAGAAAAAGAGTCACATACAGAGAGCAAGAATACTCAGATTTTATCAGTAATATTTTAAATCTCTAATATGAGGTAAAAGTAAATATTAATAAACATTCAGGTACTTAATATAATGACTGGCTACTAAAATAATATTAGGTCACACTGATGAAGCACTAAGTGCCTGGCAATATTCTAAAGCAATGGCTCTTAACCCCACCTGTACTTCAGGATGATCAAGGGACTCACAGGTAGAGTCTGATTTAATGGGTCCTAGGTTGCAGCCTAGTGCTGGAAAATGAGACCCTCAGTTCAGAAAGAATGAAAACACGACTGGGGAAGAGCTGTGTCCTCAAAGTAGAGTCTTCTTAATGACGTGGTTGGAGGATATGGAATGAAGGATATGAGTGCTGATACCAGATGGATCTTAGCTAAAAGCAGAGAATACCAGAAAGATATTTACTTGTGTTTTATTGACTATGTAAAAGCATTCAACTGTATGGATCATAAGAAATTATAGATGATAATGAGAAGAATGGGAATTCCAGAAAACTTAATTGTACTCATGAGAAACCTGTACATAGAGCAGGAGGCTGCCCTTCAAACAGAACAAAGGGTTACTTACACGGTTTAAAATCAGGAAGAGTGTGCATCAGGGTTGTATCTTTTCAACATATTTATTCAAACTGCATGCTAAGCAAATAATTTGAGAAGCTGGACTATATGAAAAGGAATGTAGCATCAGGATTGGAGGAAGACTTGTTAACAATTTGTGTTATGCAGATGACACAACTTTGAAGCACTGAAAATGAAGATGTTTTGAAGCACTTACAGATGAAGATAAAAGACTACAGTCAGCAGCATAGATTACACTTCAACATAAAGAAAATGAAAATACAAGTGGAACAATAAAAAGCATCACTATTAGTGGAGAAAAGATTGAAGTTGTCAAAGATTTCATATTACTTGAATCCACAGTCAGCACTCATGGAAGCAGCAGTCAAGATTATGAGATATCATATTACTTGAATCCACAGTCAGCACTCATGGAAGCAGCAGTCAAGATTATGAGATATCATATTATCCTGGGCAAATCTGCTAAAAAAAAAAAAAAAAAAAAAAAAACTCTTTAAAGTGCTGAAGAGGAAATATGTCACTTTGAAAACTAATGTGTGCTGACTCAACTCCTTGATTATATTTCTCCTGAATTTAGAGACCATCTAAAGAATAGAACACCCTTGAACACCAACAACTGAAAACCAGAGGAATTGTGGGATGACATCAAGAACATCATCAATGAAGAAAGCAAAAGTTCACTAAAAAGACAGGAAAGGAAGAAAAGACCAAAATGGATATAAGAAAAGACTCTGAAACTTGCCCTTGAATGGAGAGCAGTAGCTAAAGCAAATGGAAGAAATGACAAGATAAAAGAGCTGAACAGAAGATCTCAAAGAGCAACTCTAGAATACCAAGTCAGTTATTATAATGAAATGTACAAAGACTTGGAGTTAGAAAACTGAAAGGGAAGAACATGCTCCACATTTCTCTAGCTGAAACAACTGGAAAAAAATAAAAATAAAATCAAACCTCGTGTTGCAGTATTGAAAGATTCTATGTGCAAAATATTGAATGATCCAGGAAACATCAAAAGAAGATGGAAGGAATACAGAGTTACTGTACCCAAAATAATTGGTGAATGTCCATCCATTTCAGGAGGTGTTGTTCTGGTTACCTAGTGCTGCTCTGAAAGGAATATACCACAAATGGGATGGCTTAAACAAACAGAAGTTTATTCTCTTACAGTTTGGAGGCTGTAAGTCCAAGTTCAAAGTGCCAGGCTCTAGGGTCTGGGTGAAAGCCCCTCAACCTTGAGCTTCAGCTCTGCCTCCTGCTTCCAGCCCACTGGAGCTAGAGGCTTTTCTTCACTCAGACAGCTTCTGGCTGCTGAGACTGACAAGCCCAAGGTTGACAAGGTTGACAAGTCCCGATGTTACCAAACCACATAGCAGGCCAGTAATTCAAGTCCATTGTAAGGCCCAAGGTCGGTAGATCATGGCAGGCTGGTGAACAACATCATGGCTACATGTGGGGTTCAAGCGTGCCATGAGCTAGAGACCATTCCCAAAGCTGTTTCTTATATATGAGAAGCAGACCACATACCCAAAGCAGCTACTCAGCTGCTTGTGGTAGATGTGCCAAAAGTAGATCACTGGATCGACCTCATTCAATATGCATCTGAGTGTATACCAAACTTTGGATTAGCAGCCAAGTGCATTAACCATTTGAATACCCTGGAACTTCAAATAATTCTTAGTGTTCTTTAATTGAAAAGATACTTTTTCTTAAAAGAAGGATATTTATTATTGAATATGTTTTCATAGAAGGGTCTGACACATTGTTCCTTCTGTGGATTTGTTTAAATTTGTTGAATTATCCTTGCCATCCAATATTCTTTAGCCCTGTGTCTCTACAGTGGTCGTGTGCAGAGACAGATGAATAACACAGAAACAATGAGGAAAGAGTTCTGAGTAGTTGCGGTGTAGTAAATTACTTAGTGTGGCTTTTCTACCCATAAGTCTTTGTAAACTCTAAGGTGGGAATTGCTATTAGCTACGGAGGAGATCCTGATTTTAAAGTCGCCCACCTGGGTTATTTCTGTTGGGCGTGGCACAATACAATGTTCTGGGAAGTTCCCACTCTCTCTCATGTGCTT